TTAGTCAACTGGATGGGAGCAGTCCAGATAAACATGAGTAAGTCTGAAGTGAAACTGAATGTTAAAATAGTTATCTTGTGTGATTGGCACAGAAGCTTGGATATGATATAAAATGCAGCTGGCCTCGGTGAATTAAACAGTTGCTGCAAATGGGATTTTATCTCAGTGAAAAGTACAAATACTCCTTTGAGATGGTAGGAGTGAGCAGACCACAACATTTTTGAAGATGAAAGAATATCACGCATTTGTCAGGGAGGGATAGGCCTATCCAGCCTAATGCCTTTGTGCTATCATACTGACTCAGCCTTATTAGCTCAAAGGGAAATGATTTACTCATTATCTAATACATTCAGCTTGTGAGATAAGACAAAGATTTTTTAAAACATAGCTAAAAACAACAAGAGCAAACTAAAAAATTCTGCAGAAGCCAAGTAAGTCATGTAAACGAGGAAAGCATGCCAGGTGCAAGGCAGTATGGGTAAAAGAGCAAACTAGAGAGTCCATGAGCAAAACAAAAACAAAAAGAGAAAATATAAAAAATAAAATAAAATAAAAAATAAAAAAAAGGGAGTCCATGAGCATTCTCAAGGGTGAAATCAATGCACAGAGACAGCTGATTTGTTTCCATGCAAGAGCAGTGTGGCCAGATCTGATGTTCCAAGTGGTGTCAGATAATCTGAATTTTTTTGCATGTGACGTTCAAAAATGTACACAGTGGTACCCAAGCCAAATAATGCAGGCCTGCAGATCTGACCTCGTGCTCTACCAGTTTCCAGTACCTGGCTCACAGAGTAAATTTCTCTTAAACTGAATTGAATGGATAATTTCCTAGAGGAGGAAGCATTTGAGCAAAGCAAGTATATGGGTTTTTCTTTATTTTTTGCCAGCAACTTCATTTCAGGTATCCCAGGCCAGAAGCATCGGGTGAGGAGAGAATAAGCATTAAAATGTATTTTTAAAAGATTTTTTTTTTTGAGACCTTGCTCTGTCACCCAGGCTGGAGTGCAGTGGCTCAATCTCTGCTCACTACAAATTCCACCTCCCGGGTTCTAGTGATTCTTGTACCTCAGTCTCCTGAGCAGCTGAATTTCAGGCGAGCACCACCATACCTGGCTATTTTTGTATTTTTAGTAGAGACAGTGTTTCTACTACATTGGCCAGGTTGGTCTCAAACTCCTGGCCTCAAGTAATCAGCCTCCCAAAGTGCTGGGATTACAGACATGAGCCACCATGCCCAGTCTAAAAAAGAATTTTAAGATACAAATTAATCATTCACATATGCTATTTCCAAATCTATGAGGAAAATAACTTTTATTTTTGACACAGGGTGTCACTCTGTTGCCCAGGCTGTAATGCACTGGCACAAACATGGTTCACTGCAGTCTTGACTTCCTGGGCTCAAGTGATCCTCCTGCCTCAGCCTCCTGTGCAGCTGGTACCACAGGTGTGTGCCATCACACCAAGCTAACTTAAAAAAATTTTTTTTGTAGAAACAGGATCTTACTTGGTTTTGTTGCCCATGTTGGTCTTGAATTCCTGGGCTCAAGCAATCCTCCTGCCTTGGCCCCCTCAAAGTGTTGAGATTACAGGCATGAACCACTGCTCCCAGCCAGTAACCACAATTTAAAATTTTTTTTCTGTTGGGCACGTGGCTGACACCTGTAATCCCAGCACTTTGGGAGGCTGAAGAGAGGATCACTTGAGCTCAAGAGTTTGAGACCAGCCTGGGCAACATACTGAGATCTCATCTCTACCAATTAAAAAAAAAAATTAGCTAGGTGTAGTGGCATGTATTTGTGGTCCCAGCTACTTGGGAATCTTAAGTGAGAGGGTCACTTGAGCCCTGGAGGTTGAGGCTGCTGTGAGCTGTAATTGAGCCATTGTACTCCAGCCTGGGTGATAGAGTGAGATCCCATCTCAAAAACAGAAACACAAACAAAACTTTTCTAAGAAAAAACTTTGTTTCTGAACAATATTCTTGTTAGGAACATCACACACACACACACACACACACACACACACACACACACACACACACCAAGACTGTTTTAATTTTAACCTCATTCTTGAAAATCCAGGGATATGGAGGGCATCTGTCCCAAACCCCCAAAACCCTTCATTTCACCTCCATCAAGTGATAAAGTGATCATTGTCTTATCTCATTTGATAGTTTTATCCCTTTTTGCTGGGATTTTGTGATATTACCATTCACAGTGTTCACTGTATTTCAAGTCCGAGATGTGTATTTTGGGACATTTCAACAGTTCTGAGATCGGAATGCATCTTAAAATCAGTGGTGTTTCACAGTAGTGGCTGCAGACCTAAGTGTGAACACATCATAGCTATTCATACTATCATTACCTCCACTGAGTCATGTGCTCTTGGTACTACACACACAGATGCATTGCCTCTTAAAATAGCTTTTAAAGAAAGAGAAATAAAGCAAATGTGGTAAAGTGAGATTGGTATGCAAGAAATTTCTGTACAACTTTTGACCTTCTGTAGCCTAAAATGACCTCAAAATAAAAATTAAAGTGTCTTTTCAAAGATTATACTATGTTTTGGCTTTAAAACAGCAATTGATTGTGCATGCAGAAAGGCACAGAAACAGAGCACTGAGAAGTGAGATTGGTATGCAAGAAATTTCTGTACAACTTTTGACCTTCTGTAGCCTAAAATGACCTCAAAATAAAAATTAAAGTATCTTTTCAAAGATTATACTATGTTTTGGCTTTAAAACAGCAATTGATTGTGCATGCACAGAAACAGAGCACTGGGAAGCAAATTGGTATTAGTGAAGCAAATTTTCATTAGTGCAATGAGGGATTTTTGTATTTTTCTTGCCAAAGTGTTTTCCAGGACCAAACAGATGAAGTTGTGTGACATTTCATAACTGAGATACAGGCAAACAGACGCCTGTCATGGGCCAAGCCAGGCAACTGAAGGCAGGAGAAGTTGCCAATCCCTCAGAATAAATGAGGTCATTTCAAAGCAGAGGGTGATATGCAAGACTCATTTAAAAAGCATGTCAGAGTTCAATTTGCAGCATGTTTATCTTAGATTTTTTTGTAAACCACCACCACCACCACCACACTTAAAATTAGTAGCAGTTTTAAATTGATTAAAATATGAAAAAAATGCAGTGCTTGGTGGGTGTTTCATTCTTGCAATTAGCATCATGAATTTATTTTAATGTCTTTTTCTTTAGACTCTAGACCCAAAACTGCAGTGTTCCCAGTTGAGTAAAAGGGGCTAAAAAAAGCAAACCTACACTGTAAGCTCTGTGCGAGGTCGAGACTAAATCTGACTTACCACTATATCCCCAATCCTTCTGATCATGCCTGACATATACATTTTTTAGATTAACAAATTAGTCAATGGATAGAATGGAGTAGACCCAGGGAAAATGGATTTGCTCAGCAGAGCACTCAGAAGTCAGGGAGTTGGTTCAGATACTCTTGAACTTCATCCCTCTTCTACTCTGAACCTACATGCCACCTTCAACACAGGTTTTTAAAAAGATCTCTCATCATTCTTTTTAGAATGTTCTTTTCTGACTGCACAATCACCAAGGTGGCTGGAATTTTCTTTGCCAATGACTAGTTACCAGGAAAGCGGTAGAGTTAGCTTCTCTCAGACGACACCCCAATTCACTCCTAGGGGAGCTCACTCCTAGGGGGTTCTCTGGACCAGCTGTCCAGAGAAGAGCAGGTGCAGAAAGTCTTGATGATGTGCCCAAGGGCAGGCAAAGAACTGTTGTCTGACCTCATGTGACCTATAGCATTCTCACTGTGGCCACTGCTCCAGGAAGAATCAGAGCCTCTCTAAATCATGGATGAAAGTCAGCTTTGATTTAGAAGAATGGACTATTGATAATTCTCCATTCTAGGAGTTGGGAATAAGGACCATATATATGTATATATGTGAAAAAGTAGCAATTATTTCAGAATACAAAGCTCTTTAAAGGAGAAAAAGAGCAACTGCACATAAAAATTCAACATGTCTTGAAAAAACATTTATCTGTGTAATAAAATTATATATTGACTGTTCTATTAACATAATCTTATGGCTATATTACACAAGACTTTAAAATAATATGGTTATCATCAATCACCTGTGGCCACTGAACACATCTTTCAACCTCAATAAATGCCATCATAATAATGACCAAAACATTTTCATTTCTGCAACTTAAATTACAAGGAAAAGAACTTCTCTACTTAACAGTAATAGTGAATCATGGTAAATATTAAACTGAAATAATAATGATTTTAAAACTCCATGAATTCACGGTGACACCAACCTGAAGTTCATCATTTATCTGCCTAAAAGGAGAGCAGTACAAATATAATTTCAGACAGGGTCTCCTCACCTACTAAAAAGAAGTGTTTCTAAGTATTTTGGAAGCATTCAATTGCCTACAAACAACTGGCCCAATTTGGCCTCATTCTTATTATTCCTCGCTGTAGGTTGCTGGGGATCTCTGAGTGATAGCTCCGTTGTGGCTGGAATGGTGTTCTTTTGAATATGCACTTGAAGAGATCAAAATAATCAGGTGAATTAAAGCTTGACTCTGGACTCAGAACTCAGTTTCAGTGTCAGCTCTACCACTTCTTAGCTGTATCTCCTTCACATGTTATTAAATTCTCTAAGCCTCAGTCTTTTTATTAAACGGGGAGAACAACAGCACCTAAATCATAGAATTGGTAAGATGATTCCATGAATTAATTTATATAATGATTCCAGCCTATAGTAAATGCTCCCTAATGTTAGCTGCTAATTTTGTTATAGAGGTCATACAGACGTACATATATACGGGTGCTACAGGTGTACATCCTTAGGGATAACAGTAATTTAGTTCTGTTGGTAATGCTCATTGGCTTCTTCCAGTTGGTCCCAATTCATGAATATCCCCTTGTGTTAAAGTAAATATGGAATAGAGTTGGGAAGCATTTACTATGAGGGGTGCTCAGTCACCATTTCTCCCTCCTTCTACTTACAGGTTTAAGATAGGCGACATTGCTGTGACGAATGTCATTTAGCAGCTGATCTCTGGGAGTGATTTCCACCAGTGGGGGTGGCCTATTTCTCGGCACTGGCTTGAGCGTTTTGATGACATCTTTGAGGTTGGTTTTCTCGGGTGATTCTCTGGCTTCTGGCATCCGAGATTTGCGCTGGATTCTCTTTAGCTTCACCACACGGAAGGAGTCAGGGTCTGTCCTGTACTTTGGAGCCTGTGATGGCTTTTGCATCATTTCACTGTGTTGACTAAAGGGGACGTTTTGGGGGTGGGGAGGCCGAGGCGGTGGTGGCTGGAAGAACTCCTGCATTCTGGAATCTGGCATGGGTCCTCCCAACATCTCCCACATCCCAGGGGGCAGCCCCAACCCATTCTCTAACATGGCTATCAGCTTCTTCTGTTCCTTGAGTTGCTGCTGTTTCTGCTCCTCTTGTCTCTTCTGCCTTTGTTTATCTTGATTCCTGGTGAGCAGATTAGTGACCACCATTCTGGGACCTGGAAGCTCAAAATGGTAGCCCATCTTCAGGAGAGTGCTGTTTGCCTTTAAAAGCCTGGCTATTTCCATTTCAGCATGATGACCCAACATGTGCCTCTGATTGTGAAATCGAAGCTCCGTTAGTGTCTCATTAAACTGGAGACACCTCATGATGGCCACAATCCCTTTACCTGTGATGAAATTGGACTCGATGTTGAGAGTGGTGATGCTTCTATTTTCACGCAACATGTTAGCCAAGGCAAATGCTACATTCTCATCTGCACCCACATTGGCTAAACTGAATGTTTTGATGTGCTTGTTTTTCTTCATTGCATTGACAAAGTCCAGTAACATTTCTTTGGGGATGTTTTCAATGTTGTTCAGGTTAAGTTCCTTCACATCAGGATCATTTTGTCTAACTCTTCTCAAGCTTCCATCCAGGTCTGTCTGATTTCCTGAAGGCCGTGCACTTACCTTCAAAAAGCTGGTATCTAGAGCTAACTTCTTAGGATCCAATTTTGATATTTTTTTCTCACTTTGATTTTGGGCCCCTGATCTGTCTCTCTGTTCTTCAAATGCTTTATCAGTTACCTGCTGGCAGTTGTTCTCACAATTTCTAATTTGTTCCTTTGCTTTGCCTTCCTCTTCTCTGTTTGTTTTTTCACTCTCTTCACCATCATCTTCTCCTTCGTCGTCATCATCATCATCTTCGTCTTCCTCATCATCATCTTCTTCATCATCTGTTTCTTGGACATTGCTGCTGCACTTTGATTCTCTTTTATTTGCAACTATTTCACTATTGAGCTTTTCTTTTAAATACTGGGCCATATTTTTATTACCTTTGTCTATTTCTTCATGCTCTTGAGTCTTTTCCTACAAGAGAGGTTTATGAGGGTTAGAATACATAGCAGATGAAGAAATATGAAGTAGAGCATCAGCTAGTGAAGATAATAAAAATGCTTTTTTAAAATAGCTGTGTTTATCCCATCCCATATATTAAGTGATACCTTTATAATTTTGTTTTAATATTCTGTATTTTTAATGGTGTTTAATTCTAGAAGCAGTTAAAAATTGTTTCAAAAACATGATAGAATTGTTCATTGTTACATTAAAGTTTTGATTCTGTATATACCAAATAGGTATCTTATACTCAACAGTCCTGATTTAGGGCAATGATTTCCTTATGACTCCAATAATTATAAATATTATAAATACAAAATATTAGAATAATAAGGAAATTATTGCCCTAAAATGAACATTTCTACAATGCCCACTAATCTGGTATAGAATGTACATAATCTTCCTCTGGGAACATAACATAGTGCATGGGAAATTAGATCAGTTTGACATTTTGGAATATATATATATATGTATTCTGGTTATTCAACCTGGTTTAAATATGTATATATATACACACACATATATGTATATATATTCAAAACCTCAATTTTGATTTCCTTGTTCTTTGAAAATTGCCATGGCTATTCTGGGACAAGTTTACAACCCCAGTTTCTTTAGAAAGAAAGTGCCTGGGAACCAGAGCCAGCTGTGAAATAAAACAGGATTATGCAGACAGTGAGAAATAATTGCTTAGTCTGGGAAATAAAATGGGTCTCTTATCAATAGTGTTCATTAGATTCTTGTACTTCAATTATAATGCTTTTCTATACAGTATGTGTGCCTCAAAGGTGTCCTTTTTGAAAGATAGTACAACAAGCTGAGACACAGGTTTATCTGAGCAAAAACTTGATGCTCATGACATAGGTCAGAAGAGACAGTGACAAGTCACCTTAACCACCTGTCTTCACCACTGCATTTCTCATCTTGACCAGAAGGGGGAGGCAACCATCAAGCTGTTTAGGTTATATTGGAGGAAGGGAATTTTCACCCCCTGAAATGGGCATTCACATAGAATTGGCTTTTAATCCACTGACCTCCAGTTGTAAAATATCTGCAAATTGTACCTTGAACTCTAACCTGACCAATATAGCTGTTTCTTTTCAATCTTAGTACATGTTTAAACTCTCCTGACTGTAAAACAAATTGACAACTTTCCTTAATTACAGTCAGTGTGAGAGTAATTTGATAAGATGCATCTTCATCAACAGGCATAACCTAAAGAGACTTTACCTAGGAGGCATCTCTGTCCTTTTTGTTAAGTCATTTTCAAGTGGAACACTTAAAAAAATTACGCTCATGCACAGTAAGTTTGCAGAATCAACAATTCTAGCTTTTAGCTTTTAGAAAGCAAAGAAAGAATTAGCTTCAAAACCACTTACTAGCCATCAATTTCTAAATGTCATCACTGACAGCCAATATATGGTGAGAATGTAAGCCATTATCTGGTTATTCGACTGGATTTAATTGCAGGGTATGTGGCCAGACTTGAGAAGAACTGTGAAATGTTTGACAATGTGTGTGAAACATTGTGTATGTTTGGATGTGCCAGAGAGAGAGGCTACAGAGGTCATTACTTTCTCAAAGGAGCCTGCAATTAAAAAAAAAAAAAGAGAGAGTTAAGGACAACTGCCTTTGGCTTATGAGTTAAGCCACTAAATATTGTGGCTATAGAACACAGGCTTTCTGACACAGCAAACCCAATAGCAATTTTTAAGGAGAGACATTTGCAAGAAATTACCAAATTTTTCCCTTATAAATATACATGTAAGTGTTTCAGAAAGTTCCAGTCTGGAGTAGGATTAAATATTATGATTTAATCTAGATATGGCAAAAACAAAGTAGAACCAAACTCTGGAGTCTTGAGAAATAACAGTTAAAACAGGGACACCTAACAGCCCATCCCAGGCAGCCATTTCTCTGTTGTACACAAATCTCTGGTTACCTCGGATTTCACAAAGGTGACAGGAACTCGTTCATCTTCCAACATGCGCCTGGATGCCTTTTCCCAATACATATAATCAACAAGAGATTTATGATCGAAATTTCCTGTCGGTGGCTTGTCAGTTTGATCTTTCTGAATCATTCCCACAGGAAGGCTGGGGTCAGGGGCCATGACTTCCATTTCCGACTGAAGTTCTTTCAGTTCTTCAGCAGACAAGTTGGCCAAGATTTCATCTTCATTAATCTCCTCATCGAGAAGTTCTTCTTGATCTGAATTCCTGCTGTGCCCTGACATTATTTTTTCTGAATTTTTTTTTACTAGAAAAGAATAATCAAAGATGATTTTTTTAAAAGAAAGAAAAAAAAGTCTTAAGAAGGTCCCCCAGTCCACAAGTGTCCCAAGTCAACACAGCCTTGAGATTTCCCCTGCCCCCACACGAACCTCAGTGGTTTGTTGAGCAGCTAGGAGTGATCACAGCTAAGCTCTTGCTGGATCTATATTAAGTAGGGCTTGGCTGGATGGGGTCAATTTATGGAACTACTACGCTGCTCTCTTTTTGGCAACTTGAGTCAGCTGTGCAAATCCATCTGACATTTCAGTACAGCTGCTGTGTTCACCAGAGACTAACAGAGACTACAGAATCTCTGCAGGAATAAAATTAATTCTCTTTGTATATGCTGTTATACTGCTATACACAAATTAATGCAGCTCATACCTACATGCCCCAATACTCCAGGGGGGTCCCACTTGTTTTTATTTAAATATTAAAACAACTTACAATATTTCAGAAGGGAAATCCGACCAGAAACCTGAGTTCCTTTGAAGCGAAAAATTCACTTGAATGTAGAAATCAAGCTCTTAGGGTCTGCCTCTTCACTACAAGGTGACTCTGAAAGCAAATAAAGTGGTGCACAGCAAAGCAGAGGTCTTGCTATGTCATTCATCCTCTGTGTAAGCTGAACCTTTGCAAGACGTCCTATTTGCATCTAGATCCTGTGATCTAACAGATGGGGACAACCAGCACTTGAATTTCCACTATGAGTGAGGAGTTTACTATTTTAAATCATTTGTTTTTCTTATTAAGTATCCATTAACCCAAGATCAATGAAAATGGATCTAAAGTGAAATGTCAAAAGAGAAACCTACACTACTAATGTACTAGAAGAAACCATAAGAAATTTTTTTTTCTTAGCTGGGCATGTAGTCCCAGCTACTCGGGAAGCTGAGGCAGGAGAATTACTTGAACCTGGGAGGCTGAGGTTGCAGTGAGCCGAGATCACGCCACTGCACTCCAGCCTGCATCATTTATCCACATTACAAATGTCCATTTCCTTTGACCCAGCAATTCCACTTTGATAAATGTATCCTCCAGATATACTCCTACATGGGCGAAATAACATGTGTACAAGGTTATACAATATAGCAAGGTACGAAATAGTGTGTATTGAATGCTATTATTTGTATGACAAAGGGTACAGAATATATGTTTTATCAACTATATATGTGTGTGTGTGTGTGTGTGTGTGTGTGTGTGTGTGTGTGTGTGTGTCTGTCACAGAGGCTGGAATGCAGTGGTATCATCTCAGCTCACTGCAACTTCTGCTTCCCAGTCTCAAGCCTCCTGAGTAGCTGGGACCACAGGCATGCACCACTACACCCAGCTAATTTTTGTATTTTTTGCAGAGACAGGGTTTTACCATGTTGCTCAGGCTGGTCTCGAATTCTTGAGTTCAAGCAATCTGCCTGTCTCAGCTTCCCAAAGTGCCAGGATTTCAGGCATGAACCACCATGCCTGGCCCATGAATATACTCTTATTCAGAAATATATATTCATTGTACAAGAATTAGGACAACATAGGAAGACTGAGAATAAAATTTTTGCCTTACCTCACTGTGAAGCCACCACTATTAACATTTTGATTTTTCATTCTAGTCCTTTCTTTCAGGCCTACAAACCCTTATTATTTTTTTCGTCTGTTTCTTTGACTGACAAATTCAAGATTCTTTTTTTCTAGGCAACTATGTATTCTACTACTAAATGATTTTTGACTGCTCTCTGTTAGGATTCTTTATATAGATGTGCATATATATATATATATATACACACACACACACACACACACACACACACACATCTTTATATATAATTTATATAACCAATCCTCAATTGTCAGATATTTAGAATGTTTTCAATTCTCATAAGCACAAATAATTCTTTAATAAATATACCTATAGCTAAATAGTTATATACACACAAATTTATTTTCTTAAATTGAATAAATTCTAAAAAGTGAAATTGCTGGGTCAAAGAATATGAAAAAATTAAATGTTTTTCACATGTATAGGTTAAAAGTAAGAGCAAAAACCACAATTACTTTTGTACCAACCTACTAGAATGCATCTCCAATCTATGTATATTAAATATTTACAAATAATATACATGTTGGCGGGGCATAGTGGCTCACGCCTGTAATTCCGGCACTTTGGAAGGCTGAAGCAGGTGGATCATCTGAGGTCAGGAGTTCAAGACCAGCCTGGCCAATATAGCAAAACCCCATCTCTACTAAAAATACAAAAATTAGCCAGGCATGGTGGCAGGCACCTGTAATCCCAGCTACTCACAAGGCTGAGGCAGACAATCACTTGAATCTGGGAGGCAGAGGTTACACTGTGCTCCACCCTGGGTGGCACAGCAAGACTCCATCTCAAACCAAACAAATATAAATGTTACCATTCCAATATTTCATATATATGTAACTTTGAAACTTGAGAGAACCCATTCCTTTCTCCAAAAGTATCCAAGGGTTTTGGTTTCTTCTGTATCTGTCCAAGGATATTTTGTTAAGATTTGTGAAAAAGAAAAAAATCAAGTCAAATGTGAGTTTGAAATGGAAGTCCCAATATTTTCTTCCTACCCCAGTGTTTTATCTTGAGCACTCCCAGGCTGAAAGGCTTTTCATATGTAATTAATGCCCCAGGAAGGTATTTCCAATTTGCTTGAATGAGAATTTTCAAAGAACACAGGTATGTACTGGTAACTTATCCCTGGCCTCTCCCCTAACAAATCTTTTTTTTTTTTTTTTGAGACCAAGTCTCAGCTTCATCACCCAGGCTAGAGTGCAGTGGTGTGATCATGGCTCACTGCAACCTCCGCCTCCTGGGTTCAAGTGATTCTTGTGCCTCAGCCTCCCCAGTGGTTGAGACTGCAGGCATGCACACCACACCTGGCTAATTTCTGTATTTTTAGTAGAGATGGGGTTTTGCCATGTTGATCAGTCTGGTCTTGAACCCCTGATCTCAGGTGATCTGCCACCTTGGACTCCCAAAGTGATGGGATTACAGGTGTGAGCCACCACGCCCTGGCGGGTCTTCTTTTAGTCCCCATAAAAGGGGAAGAGTTCAGCCTCTGTGGGCAGGGAGATAGACCACTTTGTAGATCACTGAATTGTGGACCATTATTTCATAGATTTCTTTGCCAAACAATGATCTAAGGAGACTCAGTCCCTCCCTCACCCAAAAAAAAGAGTTTTGTTCACGGAGGCTTGGGAAATGTTATATTCTGCATTTGTGTTTTAGATATTTGTAAAGCACAATTAGCTTTGAGAAACTGAGAAATCCTGCACTAGAGAAACCAATTTTTTTTAACTCAACATTCCTCAACCTTAAATAACTCATACTTTGGGAAATACACAGCTAAATATAAAAGAGGGGGCTGTGGAGTCAGTCCGCCCGGATTTCAGCGTCAGCTCCATTCCTGAGTAACTTATGTGATACTGAGCAACTTAGCCCATATCTGATAATAGTGTCTACCATATGCAATTACTGAGAAAATTAAATGAGGTTTTATTTATATTTGTATCTATAGATATAGATATAGTAGGATGGTACATGGCAGAGTAAACCATCCATAAATGTTAAATAGTATTATTCTTATAACTCATAGATAACTGCAGAAACATTTAAAGAAAAACAAAGGCAACAAAATACAGTATGTTTACATAATGCAGTACATTTACATGTACATTTTAAAAACCATTTTCATAATAGAAATTATATTAATGCCAATAAACAAAAGAGCTTTCAAAAATCTTGTTGCTTTTACAGAAGGAAACTGAGAGACTTTTAGATGGAATTGTGTATAAAGAAAATAGAAAACCACCATTTGCGTATAAATATGAAGCTCCCCCAAGAAAATTATCTGAAGGGTGGCTTGTAAGCTTTTAGATTCAAATTCCTTTCTGATGAATTCCATTCGTTTTAATGTGATGAAATGCTTTTGATGATCAAGCTGATTTAGGAATTTCTGTAAGGAGCGCTCCTTCATCTGACTTGCGTCTTGCTGAATGAGCGTAGGAAGTGGGTAAATCTCTCCCAGCTGCTTCTACTGTGCATTTTATCCATATGCTGACAGGGAGGATTTTGCTGGTATAATTAGCCTCATTTGACACAGAGAAGATTTAGTTGTGCTTTCTCTTAATGATGTTCCACTGCTGCCACCTCAACAGCTTCTAACATCAGAATCCAGCTATAATATCCAAAAGAATGTAGCTAGCTGTAGGATAATTGATGGAATATTAGAGCCAGATAGGGCGTTACAGATTATCTGGCTTTGAATCAGATTCTTCAGGGGAAGTTATTAAGTATACTGTCTCTTTGGACCCCACCCAGAAGCAATGCAGGACTGGACCCAAGAATCTGTATTTTTTTGTTGTTGGTGGTGTTGAAAACTCTCCAGGTGATTCTGATGAGTAAGTGTGAGAATCACAGAGCTACTACAAGCCACTCATTTTACAGATCAGGCTCAGCAAGCTTAAGACACACTGCACTCATTCATTTATTATGCAGTATTTGCCAAGTACCTGGTTGTGCCACACGCTGTGCTAGGCACTAGGACTACAAGAATGGTCAAGATAAAGTCACTTTCCAGTGATGTAAACAAATAAATAATTGCTGGCTGCATCAAATGCTGTGAAAGGAGACGAACACTGCATTTCAGAGGATCACAGGGAGACCTACCTTGGTTAGGAAAGTCAGGAAAAGCCTCTCTGAGGAGGTAACACCTAATGGATGAAATGAACCATAGAAAGGGAGGGAACAGCAATCTACGCAGAGGAAACAAAGTGCAGTCCTTTAGACAGGCAAGATCTTGGGCTGCTGTTGGCGGTGACCCAACACATGACTGAACTCTGTTGTACAAGGAGGACGTGAGGACAGGGACATAGGCAAGGGCTAGATCAGGTAAGTCTTTATGACCTGGAATGAGTTGGATTTCATTCTAAGTATCACTGGAAACTATTGGAGGGTTTTAAGCACAGGAGTAAGAGGTGATTTACTTTTCTAAAAGATCACGTTGGCTGCTGGCTGGAAAATGGACTGGAGTTAGCGAACAGGCAAGAATAACTTCAGGAGAATCAGTGAAGACCCCAGTCTCCTGATAATTCTTAACACGCAAGCCCATTTCAGTGTTTAGATGATCTCAGAGGCCCTGAGCATTTTGTTTTGTCAAACACAAATAAGGCTTATACGTGTGCTGAGGAAATTCCGATGTTTCTTTCTACAGCTCTGATCTTCAATAATTACAGTATTTTCTCACGTCTCTATACACCCTGCTTCACACACCTACCCCTGGCAAGGAGTATACCAAATTTTAATGATAGAGAAAAAGCCTATGCCAAATAATAATTTCTGGCTAATTCTACAACTGAGAAATTCTAACACAATATTTTAAAATAAACTAGAAAAAATAGTTGCATACATAACTGATCTCTGGTGAAAGATTGACATTAGTTCATAGTAATAATGTACATTTGTATAGAAAAATATATTTTTCTAGCATATATATACATAAAGCATAAAAACGTCCTGGCAGGGCAGGATACACAAGAATACATATATTCTTAAAGTGTGGCTACCTGGAGTGGGGAGGGGAAGTGGGGGGCTAGAAGACAGGTTTAGGAGGGAGTTTCCACTGAATACTTTTTTTAGACAGCATTTCACTTTGTCACCCAGGCTGGAGTGCAGTGGCACAAACATGGCTCACTGCAGCCTTGAACTCCTGGACTCAAGTGATCCTTCTTCCTTATACCCCCAGGTAGCTCAGTCTACAGGCACAAGCCTTTATTCTGTGTGTGTTTTTGTTTTTGTTTTTTTTAAGAGACGTGCTTTTGCCGTGTTGCCTGGACTGGTCTCGAACTCCTGAGCTCAAGCAATCTGTCTGCCTCAACCTCCCGAAGTGCTAGAATTGTAAGCATGAGCCACCACACCTGCCCTGAATACTCTTCTGTATTTTGAAAAAACAGCTGTCTCTTCTGTTGTACTAGCCTACAGATTTCCTCATTTTTTGCTCAAGTTGAATTAGAATTTTTTGTGATTTGCAGCTTGAAGGATTCCTAATATACTCTCCCACCTAAGTCCCTTCAATGATTTTCTACAGCCTAAGGATGAATCCGAATTTCCTGATGTGCCTCTAGATGCTGCTTCCTTTCTGAATTGTGTTTCTCAGTCCCTATCTCATGTTTTCTATTTCAAACACAACCAACTTGAGGACCCCAAGGGATGAAACTCCCTGTTATGTCCAAGTTTTGTGCAGCATCTTCCAATCCTGAAGTTCCCTCCTCTAGGAGGTCCTTCTTGACCTTTAAAACTGAGCTAGGTGTTCTTCTGATGTCCTTGCCTAGAGTTGGGCACTTATCCCCATGGTGTTGTCCTTGCCATTTCACTGACCAATATTTCCCCTAGGGACTGTAACTCTGTGAAAACAAGATTGTTCGTCATGGCATCAGTGGCACTTAGCATACTTTTTTAGTGATATAATTTTTTTGCAGCTAATCTCTTTAATTTTTTAACCACAGAAATATCCAAACTCTGCAAAATGGTGGACATTTCAAAACATCTGAAATCTGCTTCATTTGGTCTTCATATCTGAAAACCTGAAGTAATAACTTGAAGTCAGTAAAGCAAGATGCTTCAAAGACAAGACTTGGGAGTCAGACTGTATCCAAATCCTGGTTGTGCCATTGACTGGGAAGACTAGGAAGTTCCTTCTCCCTCCTGTGCCTCATTGGCTCTGTGTGAATAGTGGAAAAGCAGTTTAATTCAGTTGGTTAAACATAGCTTCAGATTCAGGATGTCTGGTTTCAGATACCAGCTCTCTCTGCCATGTCCTAACTGTGCCCTTTGGGACAAGTCAACTTCTCCCTTCTCGGTTACTTCATCTGTAAATATAAGATAATAAACATATCTACTTTATAGAATTTTTGAAAAAACAGAACCTAAGTGACAATTCATGGTAAACTCTTAATAAACATTATTATATTTTCGCAAGTGAATTGTGTCACTCTTTTCTGCCTAGAAAGTACCTGATATCTAACAAATATTTGTTCATGACTGAAAAATGAATGACTTTTCCATTTTACTCAAAAACAGCACATATATGCACAAAAATGTGTAAAGGTTAATACATTTATGAAAAGTTCTGATAATAAGAGGAAGCACTTCTTTCTTGTATCCATTTATTTTTCCATTCTACATTCATTCAGGATGCGAAGGCTGTGGATAAGCCATCCCACCTCTTCCTCAGCTTCAAACCCTGGCTATAAATTGACACAACTATAAATGGTTTCCAAATGTCACTAAATAAATCAGTTCTGTCCTGTTTGTGGCATGCTATTCTCTTGTGCATTCCAACTGGATCACCAAGGTTCTGCCCACTGGCTGCAAATTGCCTGAAGATTTTGTGAGTGTGATATAAATGCCTAGCTCTCTCCTCAAATTTCCCTGACCCATGACTGCAGGGCCTCAGGATGGGCTCTGAAATGTATGAGGCCAGTGCTTCTCTAAAGTTAAGACACCCAGCCTGCCTTGCGTTCACCAGACCCCAGAGTAGCTTGAATTACAAGAGGATATGTATTATTTTACCTTAATTGTTTTGTAAGCCATCTCAAAATTCTTAAGTTGGTTTTATTTGGTTAAGTTTCAAAGGTAGATCAATTCTATATATTTCTGAAAGATGTGAGGATGTTGCTTTAGTGATGCTTATATAGCTGTTATACTAAATAGTACTGCTAATACCATTACTGCTATAATCACCGCCAATACTGGTACACCTATTATTATTACAACCTCTACTGCGGAAACTGCAACTGTTACCAGCTGCAACTGTTACCACAACTACCGTTGTTGCTGCTGCTGCTACAATTATTATCATTATGACATTCTTCCTGCTGCTACTACTAATTTTACAGTTACACTGCTAACATTTATCGATCACTTAACATTGCTAAGCTTGTGATAAGGGCTTTATACATGACATATCAATTTCTTCACACAACAACTTTAAAAGGTGGATACTTTTTTTTTTTTTAATCGAGACAGAGTCTCACTCAATCACCCAGGCTGGAGTGCAATGGTGCAATCCTGGCTCACTGCAACCTCCACCTCCCAGATTCAAGCAATTCTCCTGCCTCAGCCTCCTAAGTAGCTGGAATTACAGGCACCCCCCACATCGTGCCCAGCTAATTTTTGTATTTTTGCAGAGATGGGTATTCACCACATTGGCCAGGCTGGTTTCAAATTCCTGACCTCTGGTGATCCACCCACTTCAGCCTCCGAAATTGATGAGATTATGGGTATGAGCCACTGGGCGCGGTGGAAAGATGGATACTTTTGTTAACCTTCTTTCATAGATACTAAAACGGAGGCATAGGCATTTGAACTGAAGACAGCCTCTAAAAGTCAAGGCTCTTAATCAGTGTCCTCTATTGCTTCCTTAGTTTAGCAGACATGGCAGTCACATACCTAAAAGGCTGGAATTACAAAGCATGGAAAGCAATTGCTCTTGTTGGTACAAATAAAAATGGTGAAGACTGGCAGAATTTGAAGAATCAGCAGCAGAAATGCTACTGTCATCAGATACTTATTGAGAATGTTGAGACATTGTAAATATTATTATTGGATCACATCAGTCTGGAGAATGTTGGGTTAAAGAAAGCTAGAGAGGCAGGGTGTGGTGGCTCACGCCTGTCTTCCCAGTACTTTGGGAGGCCAAGGCAGGCAGACTGCTTGAGCCCAGGAGTCTGAGACCAGTTCTGACAGCGTGTTAAAACCCCCTCTCTACAAAAAATTGTAGAGAGGTGTGGTCGCACATGCCTGTAGACCCAGCTACCTGGGAGGCTGAGGTGGGAGGATCACCTAAGGCTGGTGATCACTGGGGTTGCAGTGAGCTATGATCAAGCCACTGCATGCCAGCCCGGGTGACAAAGTGAGACCCTGTCACAAAAGAGAGAGAAAGAGGAGAGGAGAGGAGGGGAGGAGAGAGGAGAGGAGGGGAGGTGAGGGGAGGGGAGGGGAGAGGGAGCTGAGAGCTTACTTAATCAAAAAGACTTAAATATGCCAATGAGAGTTACCAATTTCTAAACCAAATATAATAGCCTTTTTTGAACTGATGACCACAAAAACTTTTTTCCTGTGGGATATATTATGACTAATATTCCTTAGAGCACATTTTCTGAATGTTGATCTAAGTCAAATGAAATAAAGAAAACAATATATATATATATTATATGCTTACATAGAAAAAAATTAGAAGGAAATACTCTAAAATGTTACAACTCCAGCTGGAGGAATTACCAGTGATTTTTATTTTTTTGATCAAACCATTTTTATTTCCACAGAACAAATAAATGCCACTTGCATTTTAAAGCACAGAAAATAACCGCAAATAATCTTTAAGTTGATTTCAGGATAACTGCTTTAATTTTCCTACTAACTTGGACTATGAGCAATATACTAAAACAGGTGAAAAATAGTTGCTAGTTTGATTAGATTTGCAGAACAAAATACTGTAACTTTTAACTCTCTGGCATCTTTTAAAACAAACCTGATATGGTTTGGCTGTATCCCTACCCAAATCTCATCTTGAATTGTAATCTCCACGTGTCTAAGGAGGGGTCTAGTGGAAGGTGATTGAATAATGGGGCAAACTACCCCTTATAGTTCTTGTGATAGTGAGTGACTTCTCCAGAGATCTGGTTTGAAAGTACGTGACACTTCCCCCCACACCCATCTCCCCACCTTCTCTGCCACGGTAAGATGTGCTTGCGACCCCTTCACCTTCTGCCCTGAGTTTCCTGAGGCCTCCCAATCATGCTTCCTGTACAGCTTGGGAAACTGTGAGTCAATTAAACCTCTTTTCTTCATAAATTACCTAGTCTCAGGTAGCTCTTTATATTATAGTAGTGTGAGAACTAATACAAACACATTCATATTTTTCTATGACATTAGTAAAAACTGCAGGCAAACATCAAGTCTTTTTGAATACCTCAAAAATAAGGCATTTCCCAACTACTTTGACAAGAGTCCACCTTACCAAAGACAAAGATACAAAAATGTTTTTAAACTAGCAGATCTATGGTTTCCTGAATGTGGGCTGTAGGAAGCTTTCTGATATCTCAGGATTGTGTTAGTAGTAGCCATCAGGAGGGTCTCCAACTAGAAACACTTGTTCCTGCTTGCTCCTTTCCCCTCTCATTGTTCAGCATTTTTATCAAGTTTCCCAGCTTGGAGTTGTCTGTCATGCACCTGTGTCCTGTTGTTATAGCTAGAAGGGTGGGAGTCTCCTGCTGATGCGTGATAGCTTAAGCCTGGGGAGAAGGTCTTTTCCACTGCCTAGCTAAGCAGTCTGGGAAGAGCATGGGGATCATTTCTGTGTGTGTGGGTAATCTGTTCAGCAAGATTGAGACTTAGTTAAGATTCCCCTTATAACATCCTTAATGTTTATTAGCTTCTAACTAGTATTGTAAGTCCAGTGCCAGAATTTGGAGATCTGAGTTCCTCTTTTCATGGCTTTTATTCACTGTGACTAATAAGCTTCCTAATAAATCCTTGCCACACTTAAAAAAAAAAAAAAAAAAAAAAAAGGCCAGGCGCGGTGGCTCACACCTGTAATCCAAGCACTTTGGGAGGCCAAGGTGGGCGGATCACCTGAGGTCAGGAGTTCGAGACCAGCCTGGCCAACATGGAGAAACCCCATCTCTATATTAAAAAAAAAAAAAAAAAAAAAAAAGACACCTTTTACCACACAAATTGATTTCTTCAATCAAGTTGGGGAATTAATGGGAATTTACACTTGCTTAAAAGGCAGTGTGGTTACACCACAGTGTGAATGTACTTAAAGTCATCCACTAAACTGTACTCTTAAAAATTACTTGGTAATTTTATGTGTGTGTATATATGTGTGTGTGTATATACATATACATATACATACACACACACACACACACACACACACACACACACTTTTTTTTTTGAGATGGACTCTTGCTCTGTCTTCCAGGCTGGAGTGTAGTGGCGCAATCTTGGCTCACGGCAACCTCCGCTTCCTGAGTTCGAGAGATACTCCTACTTCAGCCTCCCGAGTAGCTGAGATTACAGGTGCACACCACCACACCCAGCTAATTTTTGTATTTTTAGTAGAGACAGGGTTTCTTCATGTTGGCCAGGCTGGTCACAAACTCCTGACCTCAGGTGTTCCACTTGTCTGGGACTCCCAGAGTGCTGGAATTACGGGCGTGAGCCACTGCACCTGGCCTGTTTTATGTGTATTTTAAACCATATTTTCTTAAAAGCAAGAGTAATGAAATATATTTAGGTAAAATATTTTATTTTGAATGATCCTCTCAACTTGAGGAATTTAAAAGTGTATTCAAAGTATTGCTCATGGGACAATGCTGAAAACTGCCTAAATGCCTAACAATAGGGTACAATTTTATTTCTATAACCTAATGTTGCACAAAACCTAGTTTAACAATTTACATAGAGCTATGGAATGGTGCCTATAATCTATTAAGTGAAAAATGCTTGCTATTGAGTGACATATTTTGTTACAAAATTTTAAAAACATAAAAACATAATCCATGTATGTTGTATATAAGCACAGAAAAAAATCTGACAGAATATATACCAATCTGGAACAGTGATTTTTTTTCTTAAATATTCCCAAGTCATTTGACTATTTTGCTAATGTTGATAGGCTTTTATGATCTGAGAAACCTTCGACTGTATTTTGAGTGTGTCGGTATACATGTAATATCATCATGGAGACCATTTTCTGTTATTAAAATGTAGGACATTCTGTACTGGCATTAGCATGGTAGGAGGGCTAGAAGGCTCCTTTATTTTCTTCTCTTTAAAGGAAAACTTAAGAATAGAGAGAAAAAAATTTTAAGAAGATGACAATAAGTAGGTGGGTCAAGGAGTTGAATTATGTGGGGAAATAACTCTGTAATTAATAAAAATCAGTATTTTGAATGTTGTTTCACTTTAGAATAAA